CAGCAGGGCCCTGCACTGCGTACTGTTCCCGAGATCTATTTTCATGAAGCGCACTTGACCAAAAAAGAAATCACTTTTTGATCACGTCACAGCTTCTCACAGGGAAGTGTTTTGATTCTTTTGAAACTTTTTTTTTTCCCATGACAAGACAGTTGTTGCATCTCTACAAAGAGGAGACAAAAGGGCAGATCCTGGCCTGAACCGAGACACCTGGGGTGTGAAATGTATACAGGCAGACAGCAGAAATGTAAGGAAATAATATTGTTCAGCATAAAAGGCTGCTTGATCATTGCCCCCAAGGAACAGCAACTGTTGAATGCAGCAACCTGTCCTGCGTACAATGCACTGTATCCCACTACAGAGGGGCCATAACCCCTCTTCACAAGTTGAGACTTCTTGCCCAGCTAGGCCTCTCCTGTAGACTCTCCACCCATCCTCTGCTCCACTCTTCCCTGGCTTTGCTCATTCCTGTCCCCCAGAGCCTCCCTTATGCCCTCTGTGGCTCCCTATCCCAAGTAGATTTTGATATGTGGCTTAGAGTAGGAAGCTACCCATCCTATACTCTCCAGAGCACAGGAAGGTATCTGGTTGGAAACAGGCTTCAAAAATCCCCACTTGATTTTGTAATACAAAGATACACAAAACCCCAAAAGGACTCAGCAGCTGAATCCCAGCTCTGTCCTGGGAACTGTTCATTTTGTCCTGGGACAGCTCATTTTGTCATCAGTACCATCCCTCATCCTTCCAGGAAGAAGAGTGGACTGGACTCAGTAGGAGCTGTAGGGCTGCAGCGTCTTTGAACTTTAGATATAGCTTTATAGTGGGACAGTAAAATATAGAGAGAATAGCATAACAAAGGTGGGGGTGGGCCTGTGAAGAAGGCACTGATGTGTGGGGTGGACACTTATGTCTTTGCAACTCCACAGCTGTGGACACTAGACTAACCTGGGAGAGAGAGCATGACAGCTCTGCTGGCTGGTGACCTGCTTGTTCTGAATAGGAACCCATACCGAAACAAGCATGGTGCCAGGGGAGGCATACAAAGTCACAACATTTAAAGAAATAATACGGCATATTGTAGTAATAAAGGTTAACTCCCTTTCTGGCATGGCATGACGACATCAACAGGAACCTGTCAGCCGTCTTTCTAAGCAGTACTTCTTTATCTTCTGGCAGAAAGGATCAGCTTCTTGAGTTTCCTGGGTCCTCATCTGTCAGGAAACAAGACATGGCTATCCCCTCCACAATAATGTCCACATAAGCAGTGACATCTTGCTCTTGGCAGAGTTCTTCCAGAGGCTGTGGTGTCCATAATAGTGCCCTAGAAAGTATATCAGCTGCCTGTAACTCTCCCAGGAATCCGTACAATATTGTAGGCAAATTTCAGCATCCCGAGGCAAAATCCCTGGATTCTTGGTGGGAGTTCATCAAGACATTTGTCTCCTAACAGGCACATGAGTGGCTCACGATCCATTTGTACAGTAAAAGTCAGGCCAAGGAGGAAAGTTCTGCATCACTCACATGTCTATGCAACTGCTACTGCTTCTTTTTCTATTTGTGCCTATCGAGTTTCAGGTGGAGCAAGTGCTTAACACAAAGGCAATATGGCCAGCTTCTTGACGTTGCTGTAACACTCCATGGGATGTCCATAGGATGAAGCCTCTGCTGCAATATACATTTCTCACGCCGGATTGTATTGGGCTAGTATCAGGGATCAGCTGAGTATTGATTTGATCTCACTGAAGGCAAATTGTTGTAGCAAATCCCAAAGCAGAGCAGTTTTTCTCTGCATTTGTGAGGGGCAGCGATATCAGAATTTCATCAGCCTGATCCCCCACTGAGTAGATGAGAGTACTTACTGGGTGAGGTTCGGACTCATTGTCCAGACCTGACATTTCCTTGAAGCGATTAAAACGTCTGCTCCATAGAAGCTACATTCCAGGGGTTTGGAAATCGAACTGTTCTGGTGGTGTAACTTTAGCTGGCTGCATCATCTCCATGGCCAGCCTCTGCCCTGAGCTGGACTCGGCTGCCGCTGGAGTTTGGCCTATCATTTAGGAAACATCCGATTGCCGACTGAAGTTTGTGTTCCTGTTGGTGGCAGGGTTCAGCTGCTCCTAACACCATGGGAGCAGACAGAAGTTAGTGATCACGTGATCGCCCCCTGAAAAGAGCTCTACAGCCATGCTGTGATGCACATGCAAAGATACACAGCACTTTTAAAGTGACTGGTCATGCAACAAATTAACCCTCATCAAATGAGAGATAAGATGAAGGTGCTCCACTTTGGAGTGTCTTAGAGAACTTGTGTTCCCTGGGGTTAACTGATGGGGTAAATCAGGGCTGGGCTGACTTGCCCCCACAGCTGTCTGTAGGAAGGGAACGGGGAAGGGGAGTGAGCTGCCAGCTGGGATTTGCCTGGCCTGAGCTGGAAGGGGGGGGCAGGTGGTTTGGAGTCCCCCTGCTGTTTCGTGGCTCCCTGCCATGCCCTCCAACTCCTCAATGGTAGGCAGGCTCGATCACACCTCCCACCCCCAACCCAACAGGTGAACATCTGTTGGGCTGGGGGGAGGCGTGTGCTTTGACTCATGGCACTTTACGTAAAGCACCATGAGTTAGCACATGGGATGCTGACAGACATGCACTCTCTCATAGCTCAGGAAAAGGCACGTATAGCTCCCAGAAGGGCTTTATTGCAACAATGAATTTACACCAAGACTCCTGACAACTTCCTGTTGATGCTGTCATGCCAGCCCTCAGGAAGGGGATAAACTCTTACAATTACACATACAGCTTATGAGCCATACATCACAGTCACAAAAATAGCAGCTGTTGCCAGTCAGCTTGCTCACCACCACCACCAGCCCAGCTGCTGCCACTGCTCCATGTGCTGCTGCCACACAGGGCACAGAGCTGCCTTTTTATGGAGAACATAAGTACTGCCATTTACTGGGTCAGACCATAGGTCCATCTTGCGCAGCATGTCACACAGGGGCAGGGCGCAAATGCAGAAAGGGAGAGTGAACTGGGTATGACTAGGGCTTTTGCTAATGCTGCAGCCTCCAGCATTTAAGCTCTAGGAAGTTTGGATTCAGAGGCCATGCCCCCAACTCCAATGCTTAAGCTAGCTATTACTGCACCTTTCCTCCAAGAGGCATTCAAACAGCAGCAAGCACACCCCAAAATACTAGCTTTCCTATTTCTAGGAAGGCTTTTAAGGATATTTAACTGGAAACTGCCCCAGGGCCAATGCTGAAGGGACTGCAGAGTAAAATAGGAGCAATATTGTTTCTTGCCACCTCTCGCTGACCTGCTTTCACCATGTCATCTGGGATCCAGATTTGTTTCCAACAGCACGTGCAACTCTGCCTTAATCTGTCTGGCATTTGGGGATAAATAGGAAAAATGTTTATTTTATATTATTAAAACACAGACATTTACTGACTGTATGAGATCATTGACTTGTGGTGGGGGCGGGGAATCAAACTGGACAAAAGAGTAACAGAAATAATACTGTGAGGCAAGCGTGAAATTAAGGTGTCCCCTGCCCTCAGCACATGCTAGCCCATTTTATTTTGGATGGCAGCCACAGGACATGTGGTCAAGTTGCTGCAGATTATTTTCCAGTAGCATCAGTTAGTTCATTGGCAGCCATGAGTTTCAGTCACTGTGAGCCAAGCTAAACAAGCCTTACACAATGGGAGCTATTGTGAAACTGGTCTCCTCAGGTTCATAACCATTACACAGACGGCAAAATGCATCACAGGCCGCTACATGATGACACTCTTGGGACCTATCCATGTGCTGAAACCTTACAAACAACAGGTCTTTACAGCACGGCTTTATCCCCCAGTTATAACGGCAAAGATCCCCTTTCCACCGCCATCAGAGAAACCAGAGGGGTAACAGGCACATTCAGACATAGGAGCCACATGTGAAAATGACCCTATTATAATAGGGCTGTTGGGAAAACCCTCCACATTACACTTAGGATGGTGATCAAAAGGGCAATCCCTCCTGCCCGAACTCTGTAGGAAGGCATCTGATATAAACTAAGGGATTGAATGCTGAGATGCATCAAAGCACTGCTCACATGCAATCCTTATTCTGCTAAACAGTCTGTTCCCTAAGACCATTGACATAAAGATGTATTCTGCATAGCTGCAACACTGTTTATCACTGACAAATGAAATAGAGGGTTAGCATGAAAAAGAAAGCCTCATCAAATTAACTCCTTTTCTCCACGGGAGATCTGGTATACAAGTTGTGGCAGTACTCATCTCTTTGCCTTGGGGGTTCAGTTCCATCATACCCAACCGAGCATCCCTCGTGTCGACGTCCACGCAGAAAGTTTCTCTTAAATGAGTTGGGAATCCGCTGTTGATTAGAATTGAAGTAGTCTTGTTGTGTCTGGAGAGTTAAATTCAGCTCTCTATTCTTGGGCTTTCTAAAGGTTAGGATCAGCTCACCTGTGGGTCCAGACACATGGCCACCTTTACATCAGTGTCAAACTAAAGCAGATTTGTAGCATACAGCCCTGCATAGTGCAAGTTACTCTGGGAGAAAGTCACCCCACAAAAACTGAACTAATTGTGCATAGGCATGTAGTGTGTTCAGCACTCTAGTCAAATACAAGCTTAAAAAACTGTTGCATATGAACACCTTGCAATGATGTTGTGATCCATTCCCCTTTATTATGTATGACTGTGGCAACTAAACTGTCAGGCACTGGACAATTCACTTCAGGCTGAATCTTAGTTCTTACTTGTGGCGCTGGAACTTTCTGCATTTAATTTTTTTTCAGTAGGAATTAAGATTTGGACCTCTGATGTCAATCTCTCATGTTTTCTACAGCCACCAACAGGAGATCAGCAGAAATTCCTTGTCCTCCAAAGTCCATCTCTGAAGCAGACTTGTCAAAAAAGAAAAACATTAAGAAGACCAAAGGTGGAATTAAGGTAGGAAAATGTTTTCAGATTAGTCCCTGATGTTACTGTTTGGTATATGACAGAAGTGACTTTTAAAAAGATCTTAAAGACTCCCTGTGCCAGACTTCTACATTCTTCGTTGGCTTCCGAATGGATTGTGTTGCTGACGGTGTGTTTATGCTCATTTAAGTGAAAAACATTTAAAACCAATCTGAAGTTCCTTTGAGGGAGGAATTTCCTCACATTTCATGTATTACAAGTATGCCTTGAATACCCTACTAAAGGCACTGAGCATAGGAAGAGGTATCATAATAAGATTCCCATTTTAGGAAAAAAAAGTTCTCTTAAGCTGCAAAACACACATGTACGATTCAGTTCAAAGCCTGACAGTGTACCCATGAAGGCCAGAACTCAGTCCCTCCAAGATGCAATTTATTCAGTATATTTTAAGTGGGATTTCTTACCCCAAAGCCAAAAATAATCATTTTATTAACATGCATTTAACATACAAATGGCTTTGCTACTTGTTGCTGCACAAAGGAAAGAAAGATCAGAGAAGGGAACTTTCTAGTCTAGGTCCACATATGGGTTTGGGGAATGTCCTTGGTGCCCGATCTATTTCAGGCTTTGAAGCTGGAGATGAATTCATCAGTATATTCCAGAAACAGCTTATGTTGCACAGGAACAATATCCACATGCTAACTCATGTTACTAAGGAGGGGACAGCTGTACCCTGTTGGTTCTTCTTTCTCTTATGCTTTTAAGACCAACTTGCAACGCCTTCTTCCCTTAATGAAAGGAAATCTTTTTCCTTGGGTAAAATACTACCTCATTATTAACCCAAAAATCACTTCATACTCTGAAAGGCTTGGTTTGAGGCAGCCATTCTGCACAAGTGTAAACTTTGTCCTGTGTAGTTACGATTCCATCCCATTCCTCCACTACGACTGCATTTCCATTTGTTAGCAGTAGCCACACAGATCAAGTCGTAGACCTCCACAGATCCCTATCCACTCCCAACTATAAAAAGGAATTGAAAACAAATTAAGGTGGATGCAACAGCACTTGTTGCATACCTACATTCTCCTATTCATAGCATTAGGTTTCCTCCTACAGTGTCTGCCTTTGGTCTTTCTTCAAAATCAGGCTGCAACTTTTGCAAGCTTTTCAGAGTAGGAATGAGGCATATTTTGTACAGCGCCTTGCATGTTTCTGGGTGCGCACTGGAAAAGAGCAATAGCAAGCAAGGTCACCAACTGGAGCAGTGAGGAAAAACATGAGCAGCTGGGGGCCAAAAGGTGGTAGCAAGACCAAAAGGAAGGGCGGTCTAGTTCATTTTATTTGGATTCTGGGCTTCTGAAAGAAGGCAAATGCACGGGCAGCCCATTCCACTATGCACGCTGCTCTTACTGGCTTACATCAGGTAACTTGTTCTGTACATCTGCGGGTCACTACAGGAAAAGCAAAACCTAAAAACAACATGCGAGGCAATGGCACTGTGTATTTGTTTTGGGGGGTTTGG